TCTTTCTTTCTCTCTTTCTTCTCTTTCTTTCTTTTTCTCTTTTCTTTTCTTTCTCTTTCTTCCTCTTTCTTTCTTTCTCTCTTTCTTCTTTCTTTCTCTTTCTCTTTCTTTTTCTCTTTTCTTTCTCTTTCTTCCCCTTCCTTCCTTCCTTCCTTCCTTTTCTGTCTGTCTTTCTTCCTTTTCTCTCTTTCTTTTTCCCTCCCTTCCTCCCTTCCTTCATTCCTTCCTGACTGAGTCTTGCTCTGTCACCCAGCCTGGAGCACAATGGCGCAATCTAGGCTCACTTGAATCTCTGCCTCCCAGGTTCAAGCAATTCTCATGCCTCAGCCTCCTGAGGAGCTGGGATTGCAGGTGTGCTGTAATTTTTGTATTTTTAGTAGAGACAGGGTTTTGCCATGTTGGCCAGGCTGGTCTTGAACTCCTGACCTCAAGTGATCCACTCGCCTTGGCCTCCCAAAGTGCTGCGATTATAGGCATGAGCCACTGCACCCGACCCTTGTTCTTCTTTTGAAGTATCCTATTCTTTTCCTGTTGTTTCTGTGAAGCATCCAGGGCTTCTCTAGTCCAAAGTCAGTTTTTACATGAATGTCCAGGCTTAGGGGATTCCAATGCCAGGCAGGAAGCATAAGTTTGGACTCTTCATTTTGCCCCCGCCCTCTCCCGGCCTCCAGGAAGCGGTGCCTCCGGCGGCGGGCAGCTCTGGGACAGCTGAACACCATCCTGCTGGTGGCCCAGCCCCTGCTCCGGAGGCGGCAGAGACTGCAGGTACAGGGGCTTGGCGGGGGGCAGCTCAGGGTAGAAGTCAGGCTGCCTGAGCTGGCCGAACTGGCCAAATCCCAGCAGCATCGACCCTCTCAGCCCAGCATCTCAAGGACTGTGGCTTTGGACACAGTGCTCCTTGAACTCATCCCTTTTCCCTCTGGCTGGGGTAGGCTGGGGCCTTTGGAAGGTGCTGTCTTCTTCCATTCCTGCCCACTCTCCCCAGGGCCTGGCTCTTCCCTCTTGCCGAGGGTTCCCATCCCCTCCAGGCTTCCCCTGGGCCCCTTCCGCTCCCCTCTTTTGCCTGTTAACTCTCATCTAAGGTCTATAAAGCAGCTCAAAGGTCAATGCCCACGTGCTACCCCCTCTCTGACCCCTCCCTGCCTGGACTTTGTCCCCTGGGACCATTTCTTCCCTTCTTCCTGCCCTCTTCCCGGTGCCCTGGCAGATGGGCACGGACGCCCACAGCGCTAAGGCTGGTGAGGGCCCTGGAGGGCCAGGGGTAGCTGACCCCTCCTGATCTGTTCTCGCTCCTTCGCTGAGAACCTCCTAGGGGCAGGAGGGGACAGCTGAACTTCAGAGCTGGGGAGGTGCCCCCAGGTGACTCACATGGGAGGCATCAGCTCTTTCCACATCTCCTCCAACAGCTTGGGCACTGGCAGGGCTGGCACAGCAGCGAAAGGGCCTTGGAGAGAGTGCCAAGCATGGTAGGTGGCCTGGAAGGTGGGGGGTTCTACGTGGGACTATGAACCTGCTGAGACTGGGATGGCTTAGAGGGCTGCCAGGGTGCTACTATGGGTCCTGTCCCTCAGGGCCAGACATTGCACCTCCTGAGAAGAGGACCTGGGTGCCCTTGGCTCTTGGTTTCCCTCACAGGGTCCTTGGGGCTCTGTTTGTTTGAGTGTCCAGGGTTAGAATCCTTGGTCTTTGCCTGGGCGTGGTGGCTCATACCCGTAATCCCAGCACTTTGAGGCTGAGGTGAGAGGATTGCTTGAGCCCAGGAATTTGAGACCAGCCTGGGTAACATCTCTACAAAAACAGTAAAAGTCAGCTGGACACAGTAGCACACGCCTGTAGTCTCAGCTACTCAAGAGGCTGAGGCGGGAGGGTCGCTTGAGCTTGAGCCTCGGAAGTCAAGGCTGCAGTGAGCCGTGATCGCACCACTGCACTCTAGCCTGGGTGACAGAGACCCTGTCTCAAATTAAAAAAAAAAAAAAAATACTTGGTCTCTGGAGGGGATGTTTATAATCTTGGGGGTAAGGGTGTGGGGATGGACACTGGTCCCTAGGCCCCTCCTGTGGATCCTGGGTAAATGGGCCCCCTCTGCCAGGAGCTGGGGCGCTTGGAGATTCCGGCTGAGCTGGCTGTCATGCTGAAGATGGCGGAAGGTATGTCTTGTTGGCGTCCTCTTGTTAGGACCCCTTCTCCAGTCCCTTTACCGTGGGATGTGTCTGTCCCTTGTGGTTCCTCCCTCTGATGCTCCAGGCTCTGCTAAGCTCACTGCTTGGGTCCCAGTGGACAGGGGCTGATGGCTCGTGGGGAGGGGTGGAGGTGGTCCCAGGGCCAGGTACCACCTGGGTGTTCCTGGGTTGCCTCCTGGTGCTTGTTCCCAGGCCATCAGGATGCCCTGGCTGGGAGCATCACGGAGTGCCTGCCCCCTGAGGTTCCTGCCCGGCCCAGCCTGACTCTCCCACCAGACATTGACCGGTTCCCTTTCTCCAGCTTCGTCTCCATCGGCTTTCAGGTAGGTGCCCAGGCCTAAGCTCTTCCCACTAGCCTCACCATTCTGAGTTAGGACCTGCCTGGCAGAAGCTGCGTTTTTTCCCCTGCTTTCAGCTATTTCCCTCCTCCCTCCCCAGCCTTTAGGGCTGTGAATAGCGCTGAATTGCTCTGAAAATAACCGTTGAATGTAAATGTCTCACCATAGAGTGTTATCAGTGTTATTGGATGGGAGAAGTTATTTAGATCCACAATGCCACACCTTTGTTGTACCTGCAGTAGTGCCCTGCTTTTGAAGTCATGACCTTAACGATGTTTATTGACAAGGGAAACTGTCCAGACTTCAGCAGTAAATACAAATGCAAGATTCAAAACTGCACATACAGTCTGGGCATGGTGGCTCATGCTTGTAATCCCAGCACTTTGGGAGGCCGAGGTGGGTGGATCACCTGAGGTCAGGAGTTCGAGACCAGCCTGGCCAACATGGTGAAACCCAGTCTCTACTAAAAGTACAAAAATTAGCTGGGCATGATGGCAGGTGCCTGTAATCCCAGTTACTCAGGAGGCTGAGACAGGAGAATCACTTGAACCTGGGAGGTGGAGGCTGCAGTGAGCTGAGATTGTGCCACTGCACTCCAGCCTGGGTGACAGAGCAAGACTCTTGCCTCAAAAAAAAAAAAAAAAAAAAAAAAAACAGCATTAAGATGCATTTCTGTCCAGCCCTCTGCCTCTCCCGAAGTGCCTGCTCCGGTGGGGCTCCCCTGGGTCTGTCTGACAGCTGGTGAGCGTGGACTAGCCCTCCTTCCTTGCAGGAGCCATCCCTGCCCAGGCCAGGGCAGCCACTGGTGAAGCCCCTAACCCAGCTGGACGGAGAGAACCCTCAGCATGCCCTGGACATCAACAAAGTGGTGAGTGACACATTGGAGAAGGGACAGGATGGGCTCCTGGGAGCCCTGCACGTCTTGTCCTTACCCAGCTATGTCGGCAGATGCTGCGGCTCCTGGGGGATGGATCCCTAGAGTCCTGGCAGAGGCAGACCATGGGCACATACCTGGTGCGGCAGGGGCAGTGCCGGCCAGGGCTGCGGAATGAGCTCTTCAGCCAGCTGGTGGCCCAGCTATGGCAGAACCCAGACGAACAGCAGAGCCAGCGGGGCTGGGCCCTCATGGCTGTTTTGCTCAGCGCCTTCCCCCCACTGCCTGTCCTGCAGAAGCCGCTGCTCAAGTAAGGGGCCTGGAAGGTGGGGACCTGGCAGGTGGGGTCGCTGGATCACCCTGCCTCCACTGCAGCCTGTGCCTGCCCTGCAGGTTCGTGTCTGACCAGGCCCCCAGGGGCATGGCAGCGCTGTGCCAGCACAAGCTGCTGGGGGCCTTGGAGCAGTCACAGTTGGCCCCAGGGGCCACTCGGGCCCACCCTCCAACCCAGCTGGAGTGGATGGCCGGATGGCGGCGGGGCCGCATGGCGCTGGACGTGTTCACCTTCAGCGGTGAGGGCTGCCTCGGCTGACGCCTCCCAGGCCTGAAGCGGGGCCAGCCCTACCCCTTTGCCCTCCCCGGAACCCCTTCCTGCCCCAGCCTTCCTGCTGCCCTGTCCTCAGTGACCCTGTTCTCTCTCCCCTCTGTCCTGCTTTTGAAACCCTCATGGGGACAGCAGCCCCTTCCTGTCAGGGTGGACCCTGCTGTCCCTCACTCTTGCCCCCGACCCCCGTGCCCCCATAGAGGAGTGCTACTCAGCCGAGGTGGAGTCCTGGACCACCGGGGAGCAGCTGGCTGGGTGGATCCTGCAGAGCAGGTATGGCGACCGGGGATGGGGGACAGTGTGGCCAAAGTGATCATTGTGCCCCCAGTCTCGGGGGCAGGGAGGGGAGGTGCCCTGGGGTGGGCAGGGGCCAGACTGCAGATGGCGATGGGGAGCCAGGAGCAGATTAGAAATGAGGGGCATGGGAGCTCCCATGGCCCAGATTCTAAGTCAGTAGATCAGAAAATAAATGCCCACACTGGAGCCCTTGTGGAAATGGAGGGCCGTGAGGTGAGGAGTAGTCCCCGCTGCCGAGACAAGCTGGGTCCCGGACCAGGTGGTTCCAGGGCCACCCTCCCTTCCCCAGTCCTCCGCCTTGGGGTCCTTGCCCCTTCTGGATGGCCACCTGCCTCACTGACTGCTCCCCTCCCACCCAGAGGCCTGGAGGTGCCTCCCCGGGGCTGGTCCGTGTCACTGCATTCCAGGGACACATGGCAGGACTTGGCTGGCTGCGACTTTGTGCTGGACCTAATCAGCCAGACTGAGGACCTGGGGGACCCA